GAAACGAGAAAAAAAGAAAATATGATGCAAATAAGCAGTATGAGTAGAGGAAGAAAAAAAAGAAAAGAAAAGGAGGAAATAAAAGAAGAAGAAAGAAGAGAAAGAAGAAGAAAAGAAGAAGAAGAAGAAAGAAGAGAAAGAAGAACAAGAAGAACAAGAAGGGAAAAAGACGACCCAGTCCCCTTTTCATTTTGTTTATTCTTGTTTACATTTATTTGTTTGTTTTTATATCTCTTTCGGTAATGAGCAAAAAGAAGGTAAGGAGGAAAAAGAAGAAGAAGGAGAAGAAAAAGAAGAAAAGGAGAAGAAGAAGAAGAAGAAGAAGGAGACAAAAAATGACCCACTTTCTTTTACTGTTTATTCTTTTACAGTCATTTTTCTTTCAGTCTCTTCTGGTACTGAGAAGAAAAGGAAAACATTAAAAAAGAAGAAGAAGAAGAAAAAAAAGTAAGAAAAAGAAGAAAAAGGAAAAAGAGAGAAAAAACTCGATTCCTCTCCCTATTAGCGACACGATCCACGCCCATTTCACGCCCACAAACCATCCCCGCGCCCGTCGAGCTGACAGCCTTCCGTCATCGGCCGACAGCGCTGGGTCGCACTTCTCAATTTCGTCGGGTTTGTGTTGACGGCTGTCGGGGAGGGGGGGGTCTGGTTAGAGGGGAGTGAGGGGTGTATCGGAGGGGGGGATATCGGGGGGGGGGTGAAGGGTTGTGTCGGGTTGGAGGGTGTCTGGTCGGAGGGAGGGGGTTAGGGTGGTGTCAAGGGGGGGGGAGAGCCATTCTTAAGTTTGGGGTTGATAAGAATATATGTAATAATGTATTATGCATTTACACACACAAACGCACACACACACAAATAGATTAGATAGATAAATAAATAGAGTCAGAAAATTAGATAGATGATTAGATGGGTAAATAGATAGATAGACAGAGATAGACAGACAGATAGATAAATATACAGATATGTTGATGACAGATAGAGCAGATAGGTAGAAGAACATACATACAGACAAATAGATAAATCAGTAGATAGATTAATGAATAAAACATAGGCAGATACAAACGTACACCCTTACAGATAGATAGATAGATAATTAAATAGATGAATAGATAGATAGACAGATGGATAAATAGATGCACATATATAGTCAGGCATATATATATATATTATATATTATATATATATATATATATATATATATATATATATATATATATAGAGAGAGAGAGAGAGAGAGAGAGAGAGAGAGAGAGAGAGAGAGAGAGATAAATACATAGATACATAGATAGATGGATAGACAGATAGATATACAGATATGTAGATGCTCAGATAGGTAGATGAAAAGAAAGACAGATAGATAGACTGACTGATAGATAGTTACATGAAAAGATAAACGCGACCCAAACAGACACATATAGATAGATAGACAGATAGATAATTAGATAAATGAATAGATAGACAGACAGATAGACACACACACACAAAACACACCAACATCCAGTGACACAAACAAACCGCACAGAAACATGCAATTGAAAAGAGATAGATTACGCGATCTCCGGCGGCCATCGCTGCCAAAGTTGATCTCCATTGCAATCAACATTTACACGACGATTATCAAGATCAACAGTTATAATTAATGTCACAATAACAAAATCCTGAACAATAACAATAAAGACAACACGACAATAACAAGGATTATGATCACCGCAATGTTATTGTTGATATGAATATTCTCTTTGACGGATCAAATCTCACGACCTAAAATATATTATGATATTGATGATAATTGATGTATAGTATTCGTGTATGTTTAATTGGATGATTACAGTACGAGAGAGATCATGAGTCAGTTTATGAGTCGAGTACAAATGATGATCATGATAGTAATTACACTGAGATTATTACATGTGATCATTATTATCAATATGATAAACAAGTATAAAGCAAGAGAGAAATATGTAAACAAATAAATGATACTATTGGTGATAATGAGATAAAGATTACGTTCGGTATTCCCAATGCCATTGTTATCAATGAAGAAAAAAAAACTCAAAAGAAGTGGTCACAGAAGCGGATAAACAAATAAACAAACGCAATGAATTAAAAATAAACAAAAGACAAACATGCAAACAAACAAACAAACAAACAAGCAAACAAACAAAAGACAAACAAGCAAACAAACAGACACAACCTAACCAACCAGCCAAACCCCCCCCCCCTCTTCACCCAATCCTGCCTTCTCCGTCTCCACAATGGACAAGAAAGCGATTGGCGAATAGCGAATCGTCACGCCGAGATTCGTGTCGTTCTGATTCGGAAATGATTCGGAAGGCACTTGATCTGATCCTTTTGCTAATCCTCGTCAAATTTGCTCACTTGCAATGGCCGTGAAGCCGATGGGACGAAACTTGTGCACGTTATTGCTCTTGCGTGTGTGGAAATCATAGACACACACACTCAAACGCACACATTCAAACGTACATACACATACACACACAGAGACACACATATACACATGCATAGAAACACACACAGAGACACACATACACATGCACACAAACACACACAGAGATACACATATACACGGCACAAATACACACAGAGGCACACATATAAACATGTACACAAACACACAGAGACACACATACAATGCACACAAACACACCACATATATATATGTGCGCGTCTCTCTGTGTGTCTATATGTGTGCCTCTCTCTCTCTCTCTCTGTGTCTCTCTCTCTCTCTCTCTCCCTCCCTCTCCCTTTCACTTTCCTCTAATATCGCTCTCTATACATTTATATCTCCGCATTTTCTCCCTTCCCTCCCCCCTACCTCGCTCCTAGATCCGAAAAATTCATCGCCGAGGCATAATGATGATAGATTGCTGCCCGCGATCCGAGTGCAGATTCCCGTCCCTGCTGTGTACATCACAGCTTTAAATAATTCAGGGTATTAATACAACATGCAGGATCTAACACATTTACTTTACATTCGTCTCTTTTCGTGCTCTGCTTATCAGCTTCTCTATGTATATCTGTATGTCTTTTATCGTTAGAATTAGCCTTTCGCTCTCTGATATACATGCAAACACATACAAATACACGTACAAGGACTTACTGGAGCAACTGTGTGTGTGCATTTATTTGTCTGAATGCATTTACGGGTATACCAGGGTGTGAGAGAGATTACATTAACATATATAACTCTTATTTTCATGGCCAGACTATGTAACTCTTTTTCCATTATCTGACTATATAATTTATTTTCATAACCTGATTTAATAAATCTTATTTTCATAACCTTACTATATAACTCTTAATAACCTATATAACTTCTTGTCTTAATAACTTTTATTTTCACAACCATGCTTCATAACTCTAATCTTCATAACTCGACCAACCAAAATTTACATCAGACATAAAGACACAAATCTATCCACATGACATAAAAAAACAATCCACAGAACTCACACACACACACACACACCGTACTTACTTCGATATACTTACACACTTACTAACTTCGATACCTCAGTCTCCCAAATCATAAACCTTCATATATATTGTTACAATCCACGGAAATAACTGCCCTGGGTGGTCTTATCTCCCATATTACTCGAGTATCTCCGTTCCCCTAGACGCTCTTGCATAAAATCACCTTGCAATTGCATAATAGCTTAGCATAAAACGACAGGAGAGGTTAAGTACAAGTATAATGAAGGGGAACAATACATGGGGTGAGTTTATTGCTTGCTGAAAAAAAAGTTATGATAATAATGGGATACATGGAATGCTTGTCGCGATGGGCGAAGTGCAGTTCTTATTATTATTACTCTTTTGTGAGTGTGTGTGAGAGAGAAAGAGAAGGAGAGAGAGGGAGAGGGGAGAGGGAGAGAGGGAGAGGGAGAGGAGAGAGAGAGAGAGAGAGAGAGAGAGAGAGAGAGAGAGAGAGAGAGAGAGAGAGGGAGAGGGAGAGGGAGAGGGAGAGGGAGAGGGAGAGGGAGAGGGAGAGGGAGAGGAGAGGGAAGAGGGAGAAGGAGAGAGAGGGGAGAGAGAGAGAGAGAGGAGAGAGAGAGAGAGAGAGAGAGAGAGAGAGAGAGAGAGAGAGAGAGAGGAGAGAGAGAGAGAGAGAGAGAGAGAGAGAGAGAGAGAGAGAGAGAGAGAGAGAGAGGAAGAGAGAGAGAGAGAGAGAGAGAGAGAGAGAGAGGAGAGAGAGAGAGATGAGAGACGAGAGAGAGAGAGAGAGAGAGAGAGAGAGAGAGAGAGAGAGAGAGAGAGAGAGAGAGAGAGAGAGAGAGAGAGAGAGAGAGAGAGAGAGAGATACAGACAGAATATCCCATAATACCTAAACCACAGTTAAGAAATAGTCACGCCCATTTATCTCAACTTATCTGACACAACAGAATGGACAAACGAAGCATCAAGATTTACACCCGCAGTGCCCATAAATTAATATAAAAACACGTATTATATTCCGAACACTTTTCATATCTCCTAATTCGTGACAGTGACATAGACTAATGTTTATTTTCCCTAACGTTGTGCGATTCTGTATCACGGGGCGAGCACAGTTAGCAACGTCAAAGGTTCGTGTCACTTCCTTGGCGTGGGAACAAAGGGGATTATCTGCATTTTCCACTTGTCAGTCCGCTATGCCTCCGGATTAGTGTATAATGTATATGTATATATATATATATATATATATATATATATATATATATATATATATATATATATATATATATATATATATATATATATATATATATATATATATATATATATATATATATATATATATTATATATATATAATATATATATATATATATATATATATATATATAGACACACATACATACACACACACACACACACACACCACACATATGCACACACACACATATGTGTGTGTGTGAGTGTAGAGGAAAGAGAGAGAGAATAACAGATAGAATGATGGATACAGACAGAAAGATAGACAATAATAGAAGGATACATTCATGGTGACAAATGCTTTTTGGGCTTCATCAAATCCAGATGTACTTTGACCTGAAGTGAAATATCAAATGAAGGTGGAACATACTAGAAAATAAAATTGTGAAACAGATTTTCGAAAAGGTTTCCTCCAGAAGTTCGACACGGAAGTTAAGCAACAATAAACAATTATTTGTCTTTAAGAATTTCGGGATTTCGAAATAGTATCCGTGTAATGAGGTCTGAAAGCTTCTTAGTTATATATGACAGTTCTGCAACGATGGCTTGCAAAATCCGAGGAACAGGACGTGTAAAGAAAATACAGCGAAAGGGGTAGACACGTACCTTAGTTCGTAAAAAAGAAAAAGAAAAAAAAAAAAAAAGAATAGAAAGAAATAAGAAAATAAAAAGGAAAAGGAAAAGAAATAAGAAGAAAAAAAAGAAGAAAGAAAAGAAAAAAAAGAAAAGAAGAAAAAGAAAGAAAAAGAAAAAAAGAAAAAGAAAAAAAAAGCAAAAGAAGAAAAGAAAATAAAGAAAAGAAAAGAAAAAGAAAACGGAAAAAGGAAAGAAAAAGAAAAAAGAAAGAAAAGAGCAGAAGAAAGAAAAAGAAAAGAAAACGAAAAAACACTAAAAGCCTGAGAATGACAAAAGAAAAGAAAAAAGAAGAAAAGAAGAAAAAAGAAAAAGAAAAATAAAAAGAAAAAGAAAGAATAAAAAAATAAAAAAAAGAAAAAAAGAAAAAAAAAAGAAAAAGAAAAGAAAAAGAAAAGAAAAAAGGAAAAAAAAAGAAAAGAAGAAAAAGTAATGAATTCCTTTCGAGAATATAGATCTGTTTTCTTCTTCTACTTCTCTCTCTCTTTCTCTCTCTCTCTCTCTCTCTCTTTCTCTCTCTCTTTCTCTCTCTCTCTCTCTCCTCTCTCTTTCCCTCCCTCCCTCTCTCGCTCTCTCTCTCTCTCTTCTCTCTCTCTCTCTCTCTATCTCTCCCTCCCTCGTTCTCTCTCTCTTTCTTTTTTTTTAATTCGGACTTTTCTTACCCTTTTCTGCAAACAAGCCCTTTCTTTGATTCGCACGAGACCGCGATGCAAATTAAAGGTCCATTTTTCCCCGCCAGGAGAGACAGTTAATTAATATGTTTTTGAGCTCGATCTCCTGCACGAGGCTTTACAAAGGGGGAGGGGGGAGGGGGAGGGGGAGGGAGTCGCTCAGGTTGCAGCTATAAGAATATGGACATTCAGATTCTATTTCTTTTTTTATTTTTTTTTTCTTTTTCTTATTTTCCTCCTTCTTTTTCTTCTTCTTTCTTCATTCTCATTCTCATTATCTTGTTCTTCTTCTTCTACTTCTTTTCTTCTTCTTAACTCCTCTTGTTCTTGTTCTTCATCATCATCATCTTCGTCTTATAATCTTATTATCTGACTGATTAATAATTATGAAAATATGAAAAATGAAAATAATAATGATTCCTATAACTATCATCATCATTCCTATCAACGTCACCATCCCTCCTATCACAATCCTTCTCACTATTCCCCCATGTACAATAAAAGACATTCAAATTAATGTCACATTCATTTGCATATTCAAAGTACTTATGGAATCCAACTTAAATAGGTTTTTATCATGACTCCCTGTATTTATTAGATAAGTGAATTATATGATCAGCTGTGATCATTCATTGGATATGTGGCTTGTTGCTTTTAATCTAATTGCAATGTACTCAAATGTTCAATGTGCACAATAGGCAAAAGGTTGTGTTTTTAAAGCGAACATGTTAATTTTAGATATTTTTTTTCTCTCTCTTTTTTTATTTTCTTTTCTCTACCGACGTGCCAAGTATTTTTTTTTTTTTTTTGTTTCACTAAAAGAAAATATATACAAGAGAAAATATATATTATATATACATTAAATTCCAGGTTTATTATCTGCGCTGACAAGCATAATCACCATAGCTACCATTATTATTACCATCCCTACCATCATCACTGTAAAAAGAATAAAAAGAAATAAAAAATGAAGAAAAAAAATTATCTGCCCTTACAAGCTTAATCACCATAACTCCCTTTATAATTACCATCCCTACCATAATCAATGTAAAAAAAGAAAGAAGGAAGAGAAAGAAAGAAAGAAAGAAAGAAGAAAGAAGAAAGAAGAAAGTAAGAAGAATAAATAAATAAATAAATAAAGAAGGAAGAAAGTGAGAAGAAGAAGAAAGAAAGAAGAAAGAAGAAAGAAAGAAAGAAAGAAAGAAAGAAAGAAAGAAAGAAAGAAAGAAGAAAGAAAGAAAAAGAAAAAAGAAAGAAAGAAGTAAGAATAAGAAAGAAAGAAGAAAGTAAGAATAAGAAAGAAAGAAGAAAGAAAGATTAAGAAAGAAGAAAGAAAAAAAAAGAGAAAGAAGAAAGAAGAAAGAAAGAAAGAACGAAAGAAAAAAAAAAAAAAAACATCTCTCCACCTACCTCATAATTCCCTTGTTTGGACGGAATTAAACCACACGAAAACACTGTATCTCCGCGGCGCGCAGAAGGGGGCTACCCTAACTTTATTTACATCATTCGCAAATCAAGTTAACGCGGTTTTATGGTTTAAACAAAGCCAAGTGATTCAAGTTATCGAGTTACGTCTCGTGTAACGAGTTCAGGCGAAGGCAAGTGTGAAAGGAAAATTAATATGAAAATGTGATTTGGCAACTCAGATTAGCTTGAATATTAAGTGTGTTGTGATATTTTTTGTTTTGTTTTGTTTTTATTCGTCTGTTTACTTATTTACTTATATGGTTATTTCATCTCATTGTTGGCATTGTTATGATGATAACGATAGTGATGATAAATAAAAGCGATACTAATGATAACAACAGTAATAATGATAAGGATAATGATAATCATACTATTGTTATCATAATCTTTATTACTGTTATGATTATGCTGATTTTAATGATGATAATGCTACTACTACTACTTCTATTTATGATGATGATATAAATGATAATTATTGTAATTGTTATTTTAGTATCATTATGTTGTGTAATTCTTATTTTGTTCATTGTTATTATCATAATTGTCATTACCATTATTGTTGTTGCTATTATCATTGTCATTATCATCATTATTGTTTTGTAGTTCTTTTTGTTATAATCATTTTCATTATTAGTATTATTATTGTCATTATCCTTATCATTGATATTCTTATCATTATTACTATTATTATTCTTATCATTATTATTATTATTATTATCATCATAATTCTTATCATTATTTTTTCCACGATTATTATTGTTATTATTATCATTATTATCATTGTTATTATTACCATCATCACCATTGTTATCATTATGCTATTGTTATCATTACAATTATTCTTTACTCTTATCCCTTCGGCTTTCAGGTGTCCGAAATGTCTCTGAAAACGAGCGTCATCCCACAGCCTGAATCGCGAAGCCTTCAGACCCAGACTGCTTCTAATACACTTTGCAAATCTCGTTGCTTTATTTACGTGGCTGATTAATCTGCGTTGCATATTTCTCGCGTAAGAGACGGGGAATTTGCATAACGACAGGAAGGTATGTGGAGCTGTGATTGGCGGCTTGATCTGATTATTATTTTTTATTCTATTTTTTTCTGTCTTTTCTTTCTTTTTGGTTTTTCTTTTTTTTTTTTTTTTTTGTCTTTGTCTCTGCTTCTGCTTCTGTTTGTCTGTATGGTTTGTCTGTCTGTCTCTCTTTCTCTGTCTGTCTGTCTGTCTCTTTCTCTCTCTCTCTCTCCTCTATTTCTATCTGTAGATGTATGTTCACACACACACACACGCACACATACACACATGTTTGTGTGTGCACCTGTGTGTATCTATAAACATACAGAGAAATAGCACTCCCTTTTCATTCGTTCTCCACTTTCTCTCTCTCTCTCTGCATCTCTTGCTCTGCCTCTTCCCCTCCTCTTAACCACCCACATATCCCCCCCCACTACCCCTACCCCACCCTGTCCACACCTTCCCCCCCCCCCCCCCCCCCTCCCCCATCGCCGGGCTTGGCAGGGTGGCGCGGACCAAATATACCGCGTCGATATGAAATAGCGTACGTTCCCCTTGCCAGTAAAAACATCACTCGGACTAGATTCTTCTTCTTCTTCTTCCTCTTCTTAGCTGTTCTTTATTTATTGACTTCCTTGTTGTTGTTTTTTTAATGTTTCTCTCTTTCTCTGTGTGTTTTTTTTTTTTTTTGTTTAAGCTCTCGTGTTCTCGTTATATTTCTTGGTTACGTCCTCGTTCTCACATTTTTTTTTTTTTTTTTATTCTCTCTCTCTCTCTCTCTCTCTCTCTCTCTCTCTCTCTCTCCCCTCTCTCTCCTCTCTCACTCTCTCTCTCTCTCTCTCTCTCGCTCTCTCTCTCTCTCTCTCTCTCTCTCTCTCTCTCTCTCTCTCTCTCTCTCTCTCTCTCTCTCTCTCTCTCTCTCTCTCACTCTCTCTCTCTCTCTCTCTCTCTCTCTCTCTCTCTCTCTCTCTCTCTCTCTCTCTCTCTCTCCTCTCTCTCTCTCTCTCTCTCTCTCTCTCTCTCTCTCTCTCTCCTCTCTCTCTCCGCTCTCTCTTTCTTGCTTTCGTATTCGCTCGCTTTCTTTAACTCTCTCTCTTTCTCTCTTTCTGGTCCGTTTATTTATCTCTCTGTTATTGTGTATTCCGTTCATTATGTCCACCTTTTTGACAGTATCTCTTCATCTCATTCACATATTTTTAGACGATTATATATTTTCTAAATAATTTTTCTTTACATTTTTTTCCATTACTTCTTATCATATTTTCTTTTTCCTCTCTGCCTTTGTTGTTTTGTTTCTCTGTCGTCACCTTTTCTTTAGACATTTCTCCATCTTTCGCTGTTTTCATTTGCATCCAGACTGAAAACTTTCCTGACGGATCCTTTGTTCGTTTCGTTTGAATCGCATGTGTAAACTTTTCCATATTTACTCTTCCTTTTGCTTTCAACTTCTTCTATGTCTCTCTGTCTGTGTTGTCTGTCTGTCTTTACCTGTCTGCGTCTGGTTGTTTGTCTGTTTGTCTCTGGATTTCTATTTGTTGGATTGTTTATTTGTCAGTCTATCCGTGTCACTTTATGTCTGTCTGTAT